CCCTCCCTTCCTCTGCCCTAGACCTGTGCTCAGCATCCTCGTCATCCTCCCTCCCTCCCTCCCTCCCTCCCTCCCTCCCTCCTCATCCTCACCGTCCCCATCCACATCCTCGTCCTCCCTCCCTCTCCTCCTCATCCTCATCATCCTGGTCCTCACTCCCTCCTCCCTCCCATCACTTTGCCCTGGACCTGTGCTTGAGCTTCTGGAGCGAGAGGTGGGCCTCCAGCAGGGCAGCCTTCTGGGCAGGCTTGTGCGACTCGCGGGCCTTGAGAGACCTGGCCACGATCGCCTTTGCGGCCTCCAGGGTCTTCACGACCGCCTCCTGCGGGAGCCAGGCAACCACCCAAAGCCCTGGCGTCTCGGCACGCTCACGACGGCCAGCTCCTCTGAACCTGGTTCTCACCGGGCCCGCTCTGGGTCCCCCTGCCCACCGAGAAACAATGCACATGCTGGGTTCGGGAGCTCCAGAGCCTGTCCCAGGGGGAGCGAAACGGGGGGGGGAGGACTAGATCAGGGGGGAAGCATTGCGTTGGAATCGGCGATGCAGCGCCGACAGATCGGCGATATGCTCTAGATGCCGAGACAGCACGTTCGTTCCCGGGCAGGCTGGGGCACCCGGGTCCCGATCCGCGAGGCAGGGATTATGTCAGGTCGGTGTTTCCCCCCGGAGCCCATCTCTCCCCCCCCCTTCTCGTTGCCCCCGACTCTCGCGTCGGACAAGTCAGCACGTCGGAGGCCCGGGAACTACGCTCCAGCTAAGCTGCTTTGGCGCCCGGCGCAGCCCAGGGCACCTGCGCGCCCGCTGAGGTCGAGGAGAGAGGAGGAGGCAGGGAAGGAGGAGGCGCGGTCTGCCAAGGCGGGGTGGGGCTTCGAAGGTCGAGGAGGAGGAGGAGGAGGTCGAGTAGGAGGACGAAGAGGAGGAGGAGGAGGAGGAGGAGGAGGAGGAGGAGGAGGAGGAGGGTCGAGGAGAAATGCGAAACACTTTAACTTCCCGATGGGCGCCGCGGCCGTTCCAGAGCGCTCCAGGACTCTCTGAGAGCGTTCCCCGGAACGCTCTGGAACGATTCACCCCAGTCCCAGCCCCACTCAATTGGCATCCCCAGATCCTTCTCCTTCATGATGCCATCCACCTGGGAGACACTCAGGTTCGTGCCAATTGCCTTCGCCTTCTCGACGAACGTGGCGGCCTCCGCCTCCGCGGCCTCAACGGCCCCGGTCCCCTCCCTGACGGACCACTCGCCCATTGCCTTCCACTTCCCTTCCAGCACGCTCTGCAACTCCTTCTTGGCTGCCGACTCCACTTTTGAAATCGCATCGCTTACCTGCTTCTTGAGTTGAGTAGCCTTCGACTGCTCCTGGCCAAGCTTGGTGCGGACTTCTTGGAGCTTCCCCTTCACTTCCACAAGTGGGCCCTGCTTGTAGCCTACGAGCTCGATGATCTTTCGATCGGCAGCCTGACACATCTCCCCGCATGTTTGATGCATCGCTTTCACCACAGCGCTCATGCTCTGCATCTGCCCTACAGACGACGACTCCTGAAAGTTGGAGCTGCCGTCGCTGCTCGTGTGCAATACCCAAGCGACGGAGGCGTCCCGCAGCAGGGTGCACCGAGCCCAAGTGCTGCCGTCTTTGTCCTTCTTCTGCTCCATGATGTCCACCCCCTCTCCGACCTCGATCTGCCCAACCTCTTGGCCGTCCTCCGCCGCGTCGACGAGCGGCACACCGGCCATGCAGATGGAGCGGTCCCGCAGCAGCGGCTGCAGGTCCGCCGCGTACATATTGCCCTTCTCGCCCACGATGTGGGAGAACATCGAGCCCGCCTGATCCTCGGTGAAGCTACCCTCATCCCCTCCGCAGAGCTCGGGAAGTCCCTCCACGAACTTCTTGAAGTCGGCGGCGGTGGCGCTCGCACCACGGGTGATCCTTGATGGGCCTGTTTTCCACCACCACCATAAGTTGGAGGGAGGAAGGAAGTGGAGGACGAGGAGGAGGAGGAGGAAGAGGATGAGGAGGAGGAGGGGGAAGAGGAGGAGGGGGAGGGGGAGGAGGACCCCCTCCCCCTCCAACTTATGGAGGTGGTGGTGGGAAACAGGCCCATCGATCCTCGAAAAGATGTCGGCGGCGCTCTCGCCGGACTTCTGCATGAAGCCCCGCAGGCAGCCCGCCAGGGTCTGGACGTGCGCAGCCCTGACGAGGGCGGACGTGTCGTCCTGGAGCAGCGGCGCCACCAGCTTGGCAGCGTCCTCTGTCGTGGGGGAGGCAGCAGCGCATGAAGCCAACACGTCATAAGATCGCCACCTCTCCTGCAGCCCCTCCCGTGGTGCTCCCTCGTATCCCTCCCGCCTTCCTCCGTGTCCAGATGGGGGGGCAATTGCCCAGCGCCACCCCGATGGGTACCCCTCAGACCCAAGCTCAGACAGGTGCAGGAAAGTGGCGAGGTCCTGCTACTTTCCCGCGCCGTCCCGCGCTCTCTTGCCGCTCTGTTGCCACTCTCCTGAAAGCTGTGCGCATCACTGGGCAATTACAGCTGTCCCGTTGGCATTGGAGCCCAATGTTTTGCAAATCGATTCCGCCGACCAATTTCGTGCGCAAGGATACTACGTGCACCTGGCAAGAGGTCGCCATCACTGCACTGCGAGTCCGTCTCAAAATGCATCGGCGGCACGAGGAGCGGAGGTGAGAGAGAGGAGGAGCAGAAGGGAGGCCAAGGACAGCGGTGGTCCATGTGGTCCAACCGGCTCATCTGAAGCCCACGTTTCTTGCCACGCCCAGTCCTGCGCTCGGAGCTGCAGCTGCTCCAGGCCAGTCTCGGCATCGCGCACCAACTCCCGGGCCACGAACCCCTGCTCCCACTCCGTGCACTGCTTCGAGAGCATCGCGAGCTCGACCTGGCAGTGCGTCAGCCTCTGCTGCAGCTTACCCAGGTCGACCACCATGGCCTTCCGCAGGGACTCGCTGAAGCTCTTCGCCTCCTGGCAGGGGCAGCAACGCAGGCACCCGGCATCGCCTGCTTCAGAGACGCGGGCGGCCAGGCGGGCCAGGGCGCGGATGCCACCCTGCAGCGAGGCCGATAGGCTCGGTGGCTGGGGCGGGGGGCCCTTATCAACTGGAGCCTTCAACACACAAACGAGAAAACGTCCCGCAAAGGAGCCCGATACTGTGTACGGCCGGACCTGGGACAGAAGAACATCCCTCAAGAGCACGAGACCACGAGACCCTCCGCCAGCCAAACCGAAGAGCACCGAGGGTATAGTCTCCCCCGAGATGCACAAGAACAGCCAACAGACACGAAGAGGTTTTGCGAGGTGGATGGGGGACGAGCGGAGGGGACGGAGCAGGGGGGGCGGAGGAGGGGAGGAGGGGACGCGGAGGCCAGAAGGTGGGGGAGAGGGGAGCGGAGCCAGGAAATGATGGGCCGAGGCTCCAAAACACCACTGCCATAGGTTGGATGCAACAAACACTCCGAGATACCCTCCCCGAGCTGACCTCGATCTTCTGCCTAGGCCATAGCGGGGGGGGGAGAGGGGAGCGGAGCCGGGAAATGATGGGCCGAAGCTCCAACACACCACTGCCATATATTGGATACAGCAAAACACTTGGCGGTACCCTCCTCGAACCGACCTCGATCTTATGCCTAGGACATAGCGGGAGGGGAGAGGGGAGCGGAGCCGGGAAATGGTGTGCCGATGCTCCAACACACCACTGCCATAGGTAGGATGCAACAAGCACTCGGGGATACCCTCCCCGAGCAGCCCTCGATCTTATGCCTAGGCCGCAACGGGGGGGAGAGGGGAGCGGAGCCAGGAAATGATGGGCCGAGGCTCCGAAGCACCACTGCCATAGGTAAAGTCCAACAAACACTCGGGGTTACCATCCCCGAACCGACACCGATCTTTATGCCCAGGCCACAACAGGGGGGAGATGGGAGCGGAGTCGGGAAATGATGGGCCGAGGCTCCAAAACACCACTGCCACAGGTAGGATACAACACACACTCGGGGGTACCCTCCCCGAACCGACCTCGATCCTATACCTAGGCCGTAACGGGGGAGGAAAGAGGAGCGGAGCCCAGAAATGATGGGCCGAGGCTCCGAAACACCACTGCCATAAGTACAATCCAACAAACACTCGGTGGGCACCATCCCCGAACCGACCTCGATTTTATGCCTGGGCCATAACGGGGAGGGGGGTGAGGAGGATAGAGGAGTCCGGAAATGATGGGCCGATGCTCCAAAACACCAATGCCACAGGTAGGATGCAACGAACACTCGGGGGTACCCTCCCCGGACCGACCTCGACCTTATGCCTGGGCCATAGCGGGGGGGGGAGGGGAGCGGAGCCCGGAAAAGATGGGCCGAGGCTCCAAAACACCACTGCCAACGGTAGGACCCAACAAACACTCGGGGGCACCCTCCCCGAACCGACCTCGATCCTATACCTAGGCCATAGCGGGGGGGAAAGGGGAGCGGAGCCGGGAAATGATGGGCCGATGCTCCCGAACACCACTGCCACAGGTAGGATGCAACAAACACTTGGGGGTACCCTCCCCGAACCGACCTTGATCTCACGCCTAGGTCATAGCGGGGAGGGGAAAGGGGGAGCGGAGTCTGGACATGATGGGTCGAGGCTGGCTCCGAAACACCACTGCCACAGGTAGGACCCAACAAACACTCGGGGGTACCCTCCCCGAGCCGACCTCGATCTCATGCCCCAGCCCGACCGCACCAGGCCACGTGTTTCGTGGGCGCCCCCGGGCCGTCCGCGGCCCTCTCTCTCTCTCTCTCTCCGTCCCGTCCCCGGTCTTCCCCGCGGTTCCCCGCGGCCTCATAGATGCCCAGCTCGCACCGCAGCAGCTCTGCCGTGGCCATGGCCGCAGCTCAAGCGACTATCAAGGATGGGTCTTACGCGAGACGGCATCGCGACCTTACGCGGTGGCTTCCGCGGGCCGCCAGCGCGGTGCGCTACGCTGGAGGCGAGGGCGCTTACGCGCGACCTTACGCGCTCATGTCGACGCAAACGACCTTTTTCTTCCGTCGCCCACCTGCCGATCCACTTTCCGAGGGCGCTCGGGGAATTCTCACTGCCAGTCTCGGAAGGACTCCAGTGTCCCGGGGGGTCCCTAAAGGCCAGCCGAGGCGCCCCCGAAGAATCGACCCGCCGGCGACAGCGAGTCGAGCCTCGATCCTCGAGCACCGTTCTCCTCCTCCTCCTCCTCCTCCTCCTCCTCCTCCTCCTCCTCCTCTTCCTCTTCCTCTTCCTCCTCCACGGGCGACGTGCTACGGACTGCGTGGAAGGCTGCCACGAGTGGGGCCAGGAGGCTCGGCGGGCCATGCGCAGCGGACCACCTCGGGGGGGACCCACGAGGAAGGAAGCGCCATGAGCAGCAGACTCACGGGAGGATCGAGGCTCGAGGATCGAGACTCCAGGTGAGGGGATCTAGGTCTCAGACGTTCGACACTGCTCCTCCCTGGAGAGGTATCTGGGGACCTCCTGAGACGGGTCTACGACCTGTGGGGCCACCCGTCGAGTGATAAGGAGGCCGGGTGGGTGGGTGCAATGTTAGATTTGTGATTGGCGTTGGATTGGATTCGCGAACGATCAATCGGTCGGTATTGCCATCCCGTTCTACGAGCCCACACTATCTACCCTTCGATCCAACGATTTCAATCTATGTTGCTCTGTATCCCTCGGTCTCAATATCTCGATCCATCGAATTCATCATCCGTTGGTACACTGGGGGCAACAGGCTGCAAGGGCCAGGTGTTCCCGTTCCCTGCGACACTTCCAGTGCGAAAACTCACAATGTTGTAAGTATAACCTTTCTGGGTCCAATGCTATAACGGCCGCTATTCATGCAATGACGACCCCGGATGAAACAAAACACGTGTTCTACTACGTCAGAACAACGTTGCCCCATTTTCAAGTTTTGTTGGGGGGAACGTCAAACGTCCAAATACTGCAAACTCGCGCTCCCGAGGCCACGATCCCTTGTAAATGACGACGCGCTCGCGCTCCCGATGCCACAACCTGGCCAGCCATGACGTGCTCGCCACCAATCACAAGACACTTGCGACAAGATGGCGTCCCCGAGGTAACAAGATCACACCACACTCGCGCTCCTCAATACACAACCCCTATACTGCGAGGCGGGGATTTATCCATATCCACCGCCTGGGAACCGACGTCCTGGTGCCCCAGCGGGCAGTGGACATGGATATATTTCGGCCCCCGGGGCCCGAATATGTCCATGTCCACCGCCTGCCGAGGCTCCGAAAACTGACCCTCCAGGCGGTGGATATGGAAACATTCCCGCCTCGGATCTACGGACTGCCGAGGTCATGATCTCTAGCAAGCTGCAGCAAGCCTGCGTCTCCAAGACCACCGTCCTGTCTGAGCTGCGACGCCCTCGCGCTCCCGAGGCAATTTAGCCCATGACGACGCGCTCGCGCTCCCGAGAGCGCATCCGCTTCGCGAATTACGCAGGCCTGCGCGCTCGAAACCACAATGCCTGGTGAATCACACCACGCTCTCGCGCTTCCGTTGCCACAACTGATGGGTCTGTTTTCTACCACCACCACCACCACCATAAGTTGAAGGGGGAGGAGGAGGAGGAGGAGGAGGAGGAGGAGGAGGAGGAGGAGGAGGAGGAGGAGGACCCCCTCCCCCCCAACTTGTGGTGGTGGTGGTGGGAAACAAGCCCATCGTCGTGAATCACAGCAAGCTCGCGCTTCCGTTGCCGCAACCTCCTGCAGCTCGCACACAGTGCCCGCGCTCCCGAGCTGCTCCGTACCCCCCCGCCGAGGTCCCACAACGCCCAGGCAGACTAACCGCGCGCAGTCGCGCCCCCGAGGCCAGAGCCTCGGATGGGCCTGTTGTCCACCACCGCCACCAGAAGCGGTGGAAAACAAGCCCACCAGTCACCTCTCTCTCTCTCTCTATTCAAAAACAACGTGTTCGACAATCCCTTGCAAATCTTGCGTAGCCTCGTCTCTGTGAGGGAGGCGTCGTGGCCGAAGCTGTGGCCGACAAATCTGCCCGAGCGTGACCGAAACTGGCGCCCGAAATTTTCCGACCGCGCCTGGATGTGATCGAAATGTTTGGTTCGAAACCACGACGATTTACAATTTCGGTCACAATCTCGCTCAACCTACGTTTTCGGCCACAACTTCGGGCACGTGTTCGGTCACCGATTTTTTCCGGTTGCATACCTTTTCGGCTGATAGGTGCGGGGTGCCATGATAAATCACAACGCGTTCGCGTTCCCGAAGCTACAACCGATAATAGAATCCGCCAGCCCCTTGTGAGGCCACCAGGCTGTGGGCCGGGAATTCGCAGTTTCCTGCGCCAGTTGCAGCTTCCAGTTTCCACTGTTACAATTCTGCTTCTTGCTGCTTACTGTTCCTTGTTGACTTCTTGCTGCTTACTGTTCCTTGTTGATGGACCGCGCGAGGGGGGGAGGCCCAAAACGAGTATTTTTACAACGGGAAACTCGTATGCTCTGAATTGCTGGGGTGGGTGAAAATTGACATCCCTCACGCAGATCGGCGGGGTCAGGGTACAAAAACACACGGGATTTGCCACATTTCTGAAATTCGGTGGCACCCCTCACGCAGATCGGCGGGGTCAGGGTGCAAAAACACATGGGATTTGCCACATTTCTGAAATTCGGTGGCACCCCTCACGCAGATAGGCGGAGTCAGGGTGCAACATTTCTGACATTCGGTGGCACCCATCATGCAGATCGGCGGGGTCAGGGTGCAAAAACACATTGGATTTGCCACATTTCTGAAATTCGGTGGCACCCCTCACGCAGATCGGCGGGGTCAGGGTGCAAAAACACATGGGGTTTGACACATTTCTGAAATTCGGTGGCACCCCTCACGCAGATCGGCGGGGTCAGGGGTGCAAAAACACATGGGGTTTGACACATTTCTGAAATTCGGTGGCACCCCTCATGCAGATCGGCGGGGTCAGGGTGCAAAAACACATGGGGTTTGACACATTTCTGAAATTCGGTGGCACCCCTCACGCAGATAGGCAGGGTCAGGGTCCAAAAACACACGGGATTTGCCACATTTCTAAAATTCGGTGGCACCGCTCACGCAGATCGGCAGGGTCAGGGTCCAAGAACACGAGGGAGTTGCCACATTTCTGAAATCCGGCGGCACCCCTCACGCAGATCCGTAGGGTCAGGGTGCAAAATCACACGGGATTTGCCACATTTCTGACATTCGGCAGCACCCCTCATGCAGATCCGTAGGGTCAGGGTCGAAAAACAAACAGGTCCCGACACTTCTTCACGGCGAAGCTAAAGCCTCATGACTCCGCTCTTCCATGGCCCATTCTCCGAGAGAGGGGGCCGGCGGCAGGGGGCGAAGCCCTTACGGATTACAATGCGCTCGCGCTCCCGCGGCAACAATCTCTAGCAAATCACAAGCGGCCCGCACTTCCGAGGTGACAATCCCTGGTGGTTGAGAATGCGCTCGCGCCCCCGGAACTACAACCCCTTCTACATTGTGACAGATTAGCGCTTCTGGAGCCACAACCCAGATAAATTGCATCAGATCTGCGCTCCCGAGGCCAGGAAATCACCCCGCGGAGGCTGCACCAAAGCGCCATCCCCTCTCCCGAGCAAAGTTGTAAACTTCTGGATTGGGAGATCTGTTCGGGGGGCACTTTTGGGCCACCCCATCGTTTCAAGAGAAGTCGGCCTTGCACCCGAGGCCACGACTCTCCGAAAAGAGACAGATATGTGCGCTCCCGAAGCCGCGAACCCTCGAACATGCACTGGAAGCACCACCATTCATCATTAATTTCTATAGCCCAAATCAGTTGCCAACCATGCATCTAAACAACCAGCCAATCAGCCGAGTTGCTACCCAGACAACCAGACACAAAAACACCAACCGAACGACCCAGCGTGGCCATGCAAGCAATCCGAGGTGAAGGGCCGGCGGAAGAGGGCGAATCAGACATTCATATGTATATGCCTGTACCGATGAATACACAAGTGTACATGTATACTCACATACACACATATCGGTCTCACGATCCATCTATTTGCAAACGGGACAATCGAGAGACAACCGAGAGAGAGCCTCGGGACAATCACGGGACAACCACAAGAGAACCACAGGACAACCACGTGACAACCACGGGACAATCCCTACACATCCGCGGAACAACCACCAGACAAACGCGAACCAATCCCTGGACAACCGCGGGACAACCACGGGACAAGCGTGGGACAATCACCGGACAACCATGGGACAACACCATGGGACATCATCCGCACTACCTGCACATCGATCTCGCTGTCAATCTACCGATCGGCCTCACCATCGCCCGCGCGGGCCCCAAACTGGCTCTGTTGTTTGCGGGGCTGCAAGATCAAGGGCCACTTGACAAATGGGCTACGAAAGCAAGCGGGCCGTATGCAAGATGACATATCGACCTTACGCGGCGGCTTACGCACGCCGCCAGTGCGGCACGCTGCGCTCGAAACGAGGGCGCTTACGCGCGACCTTACGCGGTCAGCGAAGCGCCAACGGTGAAGACGATCCCGTTTTCGTCCGTCGCTCAAATGGCCCGTACCAACATGCTGTCCAACTCCTTGCCCAAGCACTCTGCAGCCATACTCTACTCGCTCAACCGCGGTGACGAACACATGCGGCAACACATGCGATCGTCAGCAACATTTGGCCACTTTAAATTCACGCCGATCCTGCACCCTCTGAGCCAAAAACATCTTGGCATCGGTGACAGCCGCCTGAGCTTCTTGCGCGGCGGCACTGACATTGCCCATGGCCGATACAGCCTCATCCTTGGAGATGTCGGCCGCCTTGCTTTCTGCGAACTTGGTCATCGCCGACTGCAACTTCTGGACCTCGGGCGCAGACATGCCTCCTTCCATGACGACCCCATTCAGTGACGACCAAGAGAGCCCCCAAATAGCCCAGTACACGTGGGTCGGAAGAAGTAGGTAACAGCATGGAGTAGGAAGGCGGACGAAGTAGATTCGGTTCAGACCCTCCTCCTCCTCCTCCTCCTCCTCCTCTTCCTCCTCCTCATGCCTCCTCCTGCCTCCCGCCTCCTTCTGCTTGCTGCTGCTGCTGCTCCTCCTCCTCCGTTCCCCTCCTTCCTCGCTTCCTCCGCCACCTCCTCCTCCTCCTCGTCCTCGTCCCCGTCCTCCTCCTCCTCCTCTTCCGTCTCCTCCTTTGTCTTCCTACTCCTGCCTCCACCTTCTCCACCTCTTCGTCCTCCCATCTTCTCCTCCTCCTCCTCCTGCGGCCTCCTCTTCCTCCTCCATCGACCTCCTGCACCTTGCTGGGGCCTCCTGGGGGCTCCTGAATCTTCCCAGGGCGTCCCAGAGCCTTTTGGGGCCTCCAGGGGCTCCCTGAGCACTCCTCCTTGTCCTGCTAATCCTTCTCATCCTTCTCCTCCTCCTCCTCCTCCTCCTCCTTCTCCTCGTCCTGACCCTCCTTCTCGTTATGTCTCTTTCTCTTCCTCTTCCTCCTCATGCCTCCTCCTGCTCCTCCTCCTGCTCCTGCTCCTCAACCTCCCCCTCATCCCCCTTCTCCTCCTCCTCATCCTCCTCCTCCTCATTATCATCATCAACAACATCATCACCATCATCATCATCATCATCATCATCAGCATCATCATCATCATCATCATCAGCATCAGCATCATCATCATCATCACCATCATCGCCATCGTCATCATCAGCATCATCATCATCACCATCATCATCATCATCGTCATCATCATCATCATCATCGCCAACATCACCACCATCACCATCACCACCCATCAACCGCATCATCAGCATCACCACCATTATCATCATCATCATCATCATCATCATCATCATCATCATCATCATCATCGTCATCATCATCACCATCCTCAGCATCATCACCAGCATCAACCGCATCATAATCAATATCATCATTAGCATTAGCATCAGCAGCAGCATCGCCATCATCATAACCATTAGCATAATCACCATCAGCATCATCATCACCATCAACAGCAGCATCGACATCATCAGCATCAGCATCATCATCGGCATCATCATCGGCAGCACCATCATCGGCGTCGTGATCAGCGTCGTCATCATTATCAGCATCATCATCCTAATCAGCATCATTGTCAATGTCATCATCACCCTCATCATCATCACCATTATCACCATCATCATCACCACCATCAGCATCATCATCGTCATCATCACCAGTATCGTCATCGTCAGCATCATCATCGTCATCATCATCATCATCATCATCAACATCACCATCGCCACCATCATCAATATCAGCAGCATCATCACCAGCATCATCACCATAGAATAATAATCAACATCATCAGCAGCATCATCACCATCACCATCACCGTCCTCATCATCATCACCGCACCGTCGTCAGGATCATCATCGTCATTATCACCAGCATCATCAACATCATCATCTTCTTCACCCCGATCCTCATCCTCACCCTCATCCTCGTCCTCATCCTCACCCTCACCCTCATCCTCGTCCTGCCTCTTCCTCTGGCCTCCTCCTGCATCACCCTTGAGCCTCCTGCCTCCTCCTGGGGCCCCCCGTTGCCTTCTGGAGCCTCCGGGGGCTCTTAAAGCCTGGCCTCCTTCTCCTCCTGTCCTGGCCTCTTCCTCCTTGGGCCTCCTGCCTCCTCCTGGGGCATCCTGCTGCCACCTGGGGCCTCTGGGGGCCTCCTGGAGCCTTCTGGGGCCTCCTGGGACCTCTCAGGCCTCCTGGAGACTTCCTGGGGCGTGCTAGGGTTTCCTGGTGGCTCCGGGGCCTCCTGCGGTCTCTGGGGCCTCCTGGTGCCTCCTGGTGCCTCCTGATGCTTCCTGTGGCTTCCTGAAGCCTCCTGGGGGTTCCTGTGACCTTCGGAAGCTTTCCGGGTGTTCCCGCTCGAGACTTCCTCACGATTCACTCACAAGGCTCGCGCTCGAGACTTCCTCCACATTCAAGACTCGGGAGCCAGAAACTGACGCCGTTACAAACTTTGGATGACCCCGCTCGGACTCCAACATGGAGGTGGGCACCCCTTAGGGAGATCAGATTCGGGCTGGAGGAGCCAAATTACCAACATGAAGTGCGGGCCCCAGACGGAGAGGGGCCCGCGCTCGAGACATCCTCACGATTTGCCTCCTTGGGGTGCTCAAGAACTATGCCTGGTAAATGCTTCCAGTGACCCGCTCGGATTACCAACATCACACGCGGGCCCCATAGGGAGGGGGCTACGACCTGAGACTTGCTTGCAATTCACTCACTGACGAGGCCCCCGCTTGACACATTCTCACGATATGCCCCATTGGGGCGCTCAAGTACTATGCACAGTACAGGTTGCCGATGACCCGCTCGGATTCCAATCTGAAGTGCGGCCGCATACTTGGCCCCAACGAAAGTTTCCTTGGAAACTCGCAAGAGGAATCATATGTATGTAAGCCCGTCGGCAAGATGAAAAGTCGCGCGCGCGAGCTCAGCGTTCGAACGCACGCGATCCCAAGACGCCCCATGGCCACAGCATGCTTCCAGGAATGCCTCAGGCCACGGACAATGACGCCCAGTGGACCCAGGATGATGCCACCCCAACGCGATCCCGCCATGGATTCTGGACCGTCTCAGGCCGACTCGCAGATGACGAAACACATGAGCAACGCGTGACGCCGAGATGGCCCGATGGCAACAAGATGGATCCAAGCGCACCCAGGGTGGCCTCATAATGACCACGCGATGGTTGCGTGATCCAAACATGACCGGGATATGATCTCAAGATGACCTCCAGACGACCCCAACACGGCAATAATACTGCAACTTTTGAGCCCCATCTTACTTCGAGCCGATCCCAGCATGGTGGGATCCGTGAACGGCCCGGGATTTTGGTCTACCCCATTTTTCATGGGTGGGATTTTGATCGCCCTGAACTAAACTTATAATATTAAAGCGGAATAAGCCAGGCGGGATCCCGCCCGGCCCACGGAGGAAGACAACATTGCTAGGCTTCTACGGGGGTAGGGGGTTCGGCAGGGGCGTCATTTACTTCCGCTGACACTGGCAAGCCTTCCGGCGGACTTCCCCCGTCTTCCGCCTCGTTTTACTTCCGTCGACTTCCGCCGGCCAGCGTCGTGATGAAAATTCCAGGAACTTTCATTGGGCCGATGCGTGGATTTTTACATCCCGCGCGACAGGGATGGCAATTCAGTTCGGCAGTGGGACAAGTCGGCGTCATGGCCAACGCGCGTCAGAGGCCCGAGTGCGCCCCCTTCCTCTGGTAAACGACCTTGCACACTTTCTTGAAGTTCTGAAACTTCCGCTTGGCGACAGTCTGCGCCTTCTGAGTTTTGAGCAACCTCTTGAGTCTGACCGTCCAGGCGGTCCTTCCCAAAGCGGGCCGCTTGTTCCTCAGGTCCTCGAGGTCCCCAACCTCCCACCAGTGAATCTGGAGCCAAAATGACAACGGGCATGCGGGGGCTCGGACAGGCTTGGCCCCAACGAAAGTTTCCTTGGAAACTCGCAAGAGGAATCATATGTATGTAAGCCCGTCGGCAAGATGAAAAGTCGCGCGCGCGAGCTCAGCGTTCGAACGCACGCGATCCCAAGACGCCCCATGGCCACAGCATGCTTCCAGGAATGCCTCAGGCCACGGACAATGACGCCCAGTGGACCCAGGATGATGCCACCCCAACGCGATCCCGCCATGGATTCTGGACCGTCTCAGGCCGACTCGCAGATGACGAAACACATGAGCAACGCGTGACGCCGAGATGGCCCGATGGCAACAAGATGGATCCAAGCGCACCCAGGGTGGCCTCATAATGACCACGCGATGGTTGCGTGATCCAAACATGACCGGGATATGATCTCAAGATGACCTCCAGACGACCCCAACACGGCAATAATACTGCAACTTTTGAGCCCCATCTTACTTCGAGCCGATCCCAGCATGGTGGGATCCGTGAACGGCCCGGGATTTTGGTCTACCCCATTTTTCATGGGTGGGATTTTGATCGCCCTGAACTAAACTTATAATATTAAAGCGGAATAAGCCAGGCGGGATCCCGCCCGGCCCACGGAGGAAGACAACATTGCTAGGCTTCTACGGGGGTAGGGGGTTCGGCAGGGGCGTCATTTACTTCCGCTGACACTGGCAAGCCTTCCGGCGGACTTCCCCCGTCTTCCGCCTCGTTTTACTTCCGTCGACTTCCGCCGGCCAGCGTCGTGATGAAAATTCCAGGAACTTTCATTGGGCCGATGTAGGGAGGGAGGTCCCGCCTGAGACTTCCTCGGCAAGTCACTCACACAACGGGCCCCTGCTCGAGACAGCTGCACGATTTGCCCCCTTGACGTGGTCAAGTGCTATTCCTGCTGACAGGTTCCCAATGACCCGCTCGGATTACCAACACAACGTGAGGGCCTCATAGGGAGGGGGCTCCGATCTAAGATTTCCTCGCAATTCACGCACAGACGAGGCCCCCCCACTTGACACATCCTCACGATGTGCCCCCTTGGGGTGCTCAAGCACTATGCCTGGTACATGTTGCCAATGACCCGCTCGGATTCCAATATGATGTGCGGCCCCACAGGGAGGGGGCTCCCGCCTGAGAATTCCTCAGCAAGTCAATCACATAACAGGGCCCCGCTCGATACATCCTCACGATTTGCCCCTTGGGGCGCTCAAGTACTACTCCTGCTGCAGGTTGCCGATGGCCCGCTCGGATTCCAATATGAACAGCGGGCCCCATAGGGAGGAGGCTCTCGCCTGAGACTTCATCGCAAGTCACACACAAACGGGGCCGCCGCATGACACATCCTCACAACGTGCCCCTTTGGGGTGCCCAAGTGCTATGCCTGGTACAGGTTGCCAATGCCCCGCTCGGATTCCAGTATGATGTGCGGCCGCATAGGGAGGGGGCTCCCGCCTGAGACTTCCTCAGCAAGTCACTCTCAGAACAGGCCCCCGCCCGACACATCCTCACGATGTGCCCCATCGGGGTGCTCAAATGCTATGCGTGGTAAGTGTCTCCGATGACCCGTTCGGATTCGAACATTATGTGCGGCCCCATAGGGAGGGGGCTCCCGCCTGAGACTTCTTCGCAATTCACTCTCAAACGAGACCCCCGCTCGAAACATCCTCACGAGTTCCGCTCGAATTCGAACATGCACTGTTGGCCCCATGGGGAGGGGGCTCCCGCTCGCAATTCACTTGCAAAACGAGGCCCCCTCTCGAGACATCCTCACGACTTTCCCCCTTGAGGTGCTCAACTACTATGCCTGGAATTTGTTTCCGATGACACGCTCGGATTCAGACATTCAGTGCGGCCCCATAGGGAGGGGGCTCTCGCCTGAGACTTCCCCGCAAGTCACTCACAGACGAGGCTCCCGCTTGGTCGATGATCAGGGTGGAATGGTGATGGTGATTATCATGGTGTGCGATGGCGTTGCTGATGGCGATGATAACGATGGCCGATGCGCATGACGGGTCCATGACATGATGCCGAGTGAGAGTGTGATGAGTAAATGTGAGTAAATTGAGAGCGACTGAATGATGGTGATGGTTGATGACACTGATAGGCTGGTGGTAGTGATTATGATGATACTGATGCTGATGATTATGGTGATGATGGTGGTGGTGATGATGTGTGATGTTTGTGATGGTGATGGTGACGAGGAGGAAGAGAGGGGTGAGGAAAGATCCTGCGCGGAGGTGTGCAGAGAAAATAGGAGGCCCACTTGGGATGTGGGAATAGGGCACAACGAAAACAGATCGAATCTTGAAGTACGAAGGCGCTTGAACTAGACTGGAATCTCGGCATCCGAAAATATCGAATTACCTCCAACGACCGGCCTGTAATCTCTCCAGACGGCCCAAGAGGGCCCCTGGACGGTACAGGGCGGCCCCGAGTAAGCCATGACCAAGAGAGCCTCTGGAGGGACCGAAGACGGCCTCAGAGGGCTCCTCGACGGCCCAAGACGGCCCCACGACGGCCTCAAGAGACCTCCCAGACGACCAAGGGCCCCAAAACGGCCTCAGCGAGCTCCACGACGGCCCAAAGGCGGCCCACGAGGCCCCCAAGGGACTCAAGACTGCCTCACAGCAGCGCGATACAGCCCCGAGGCGGCCCATATGAGCTCCATGAGAGCTCCTCAAGTGACGAAACGTGTCACATGTGACGACCGTCCTCTTCTTTCAGTCCCACCCCCTTCCGCCTCCGCCTCCTCCTCTTCCTCCTCCTCCTCGTCCTCGTCCTCCTCCTCCAACTCCTCCTCCTCGACATCATCACGATCATGATGTTCCACATCGCACTCGTCCAGTACGATGCTCCTCTTCCTTCTCCTCATCCTCCTCCTCCTGCTCCTCCTCCTCACGTTCCTTCTCCCCCCTGTATCATCGATTCCTGCATCTGCCCACTCCACGACAAGGTGACCCCAACTGATCCAATATAAGCTCAAAATGAATGATGTATGCCATGTGACGGCGTTCTGACCCTTACTCACACCGTCAACGCACACCGTGATGTTACGCCGATCGGCTAACAGATCAATCTCCTGTCTCCCCTCGAACATTCGACTCCGAATGCTGGGCTGGCACGGTGGTAGAACTTGCCGCAAACAACTGGATCCGAATGGGCCCTGGAAACGACAGGACCGTTTTTCCACCGTTCCGTTTTCAGTCGCCGTGTTTTCCTGTTCAGGTTCTGGTTCGAGTCCCTGAGCCGCTTCTCTTAGCGTTTCTGGGATATGTTGTTTACGGTTTCCAGGCTCCAGATACATGTTTCTGAAAACGGTGGCCCTGCCGCCTCGAGAGCCCACTAAGAGCTGCATGATGAGGAGGCAAAATGAAGGGGCCCTAGGACACACACACACACAAAAATAGATAGGCACAAATAACAGGATTCACCATATCGTTCCATATCTTCTGGGTTTGTGTCTTCCCCCCCACTTCCCATATGTTCACATATTTTCTGGGGAATCGACGACTAATTGTGCCTGTGTGTTTCTTTCCCTCCTGAAGAAGTAGGGAGGCGATGCCTTTGGACGCGCACGCTGGAACACCTGCTGCGGCGTCGGGCCACGGGTCCTCGAATGCAGGGCCAAAAGGTCTTGGTATGCATAGGCGGCCTGGGTGAGGCACAGTGTCCATACATGTGTGGATGCCACGACAATGGGCACCCTAACAGTCCGATCATTGAATTAAAAGTGCGTGTAAAATGTATAAAACACGTCGTAAACATGTTTCAAGCATGTTTCTTGTTGTTCGAAACATATTGAAACCTCTTTCAGACATCTGGAAATTATTTGGCAGCATGCTTCCTCTCCATTGATCGACGTCCACAACCATACAGCTGACCTCGAAGGCAGAAGGACAGGAGGGCAAGCAGAGGACGAGCCAGCTTAGGCTGCCCCTGAGCACCGCGAGCTCCACGCCGGAGATCTTCTCGTTGGAAGCCTGCATCTGGGACTTCCGCTTCCTCTCCGCCGTGTCCTTCGGGGAGCAGGAAGACCTGCCACCGTGCCGTATGCACTGAGGCAAGCGTCCTCGGGTCTCTCTGGTTTCTTCTTACTGCGTGCTCTGGGTACGCTGCAATGGACCCACAGCCTCAACCAACCGGCTTTTCGCCCTACTCCAGGGGTGTGCAACCTGTTTCCTGGGAGCCAGACAGCGACAGGACGGGCCAAGAGGATTCCAAGAGGGCCCGAAGACGGTCCAGAGCGCCCCAAAATGGCCCAAGAGGCCCTCAAGGAAACCCAAGAATGCTCCAGCCCGAAGACGTCCACAAGATGCCCATGTCATTGAGTTTCTAAATATTTTCGATCAGTTCTAATGTGTTCGCCTTTTCAGGCTTCCAGCGCTGCAAGGTGGCCCCAGAGGCACCCAATATTCCTCGAGACGGCCTCTGAGGCTCCTCAGGGGGTCCCAAAACGGTCCCTGCGGGCCCCAAGGCAGCCCAGGAGGCCCCCACATCAGCCCAAGAGGACTCCAAAACGACCCCAAGTGGGGAAAGCGAATTGCCTCCCTCAGATTGACTCCGAGACCCTGGCATGCCCCAAGCCACCCAGAAGCGCAGAGGGCCTAAGAGGCCTCCAAGAGGCCTCCCAAAGGCGCCCAACAGCCTCCAGGAGGCCCCTCAAGAGGCCTCCAAGAGGCCGCCGAGAGGCATCCCAAGAGACCCCAACAGGCATCCAAATGGCCGCTGTCCCACAACCCAGGCGCGGTGACAGGACGGCCCGTAAGCCACTGGATCCGCCGCCCCCTGTTGATTCATCACAGGGGTGCCTGGCGTGCTGAACCCTCTCGGTTTTGGTTTTGGTTCTTTTCCACAAGAACTCCCCCTGGGCCTCCGGCGCGTCCCGCCCGGGTCCCGGAAGGATTGTCCAGGATCTTCCAGAGCTGGTTGCAAAGGGTTTTCCTGCCCCAGACGGCTGCAAGATGGCCCAAGATGGCCTCCAAGATGTTTCCAAGACGGCCAAGATGGCCTCCAAAACGGCTAAGATGGCCCCAAGATGCATCCAAGACGGCCCAAGAAACCTCCAAGCGGCCCAAGACGGCCCAAGAGGTGCCCAAGAGGCCTCCAAGACGGCCCAAGAGGCCTCCGAGAGGTCCTCCAGGAGGGCCCGAAAAGGCAAAAGTCATTGTTTCTCCTTAGGTTTTTAAATGTTTTCCTTATTTGCTCCTTTTCGGCTTTCCGACGACCCAAGACGGCCCAAACGGCCCCCACGATCGCCTCCAGAGCGCCCAAGAGGCCTCCAAGATGGCCTCACGACTGCCCAAGAGGCCCCCAAGAAGGCCCTAAGAGGGCACAAAGACGATCCAAGAGGCCTCCAAGACGCCCAAGATGGCCTCTAAGATGGCCCTGGAACACCCCAAGAGGGCCCCAAGTCGGCCCAGAGAGGCCCCCGAAACGGCTTCCGACGGCGTCAGACGGGCCAGGAGCCCACCAAGACGGCCGAAGATGGCTCGAAGCTGGCCCAAGACGGCCCAAGAGGCCTCTGCCTCCATGAAGGCCAGAAAAGGCCAAAAACATAGACTTTCCTTAGGTTTTTGAAGGACTTTGACATTTGCTTCGTTGCGGCCTTCCGACGGCCCGAGACGGCCCAAGAGTCCCCAACGATCGCCCAAGAGGCCCCCAAGACGGCCCAGGAGGCCTTTAAGACGCCCACGATGGCCTCCAAGACGGCCCTGGAGCACTTCAAGAAGGCCCCAAGTCGGCCCAGAGAGGCCCCCCAAACTGCTTCCGACGGCGTCAGACGGGCCAGGAGCCCACCAAGACGGCCAAAGATGGCCCTAAGATGGCCCAAGACGGCCCAAGAGATCTCCAAGAGGGCCTCCAGGAAGGCCCGAAAAGGAAATCATTGATTTCCGATGAGTTTTTGAAGGATTGTGGCATTTGTTTTTTTCTGCCTTCCGACTGCCCGAGACGGCCCAAGTGCCCCCAAAGATGGCTCAAGAGGCCCAAGACGGCCCCAAGAAGTCCCCAAGACGGCCCAAGAAACCTCCAAGACGCTCAAGCTGGCCTCCATGACGGCCCAAGAGCCCTCCAAGACGTCATCCAAGAATTCCCGGCCACATAAGCGCTTCCAAGAAGGCAGGGAGCGGCGGTGATTCGCCATAGGCGTCTTCGATAACGGTAGCGCTACTCACCAGACCTCTCCCCGAAGTGCGGCCTGGCCAGGACTCCGAGGCGGATCCAGCCGTGGCGCCGAGGGCTCCACAGGAACCCCCGAAGGCAGAAACTATGCAAAGGTAGCGGTGTCAGTGTATTTCCTCATCAGAGTCCTTCTTCGACTCGGCCAGCTTGGCGGCGTCTCCGTCGAGCCTCTTCTGGAGCGCCAGCAGCTGCTTCGTGCAGGTCTCGGAGGGGCCCTCGGAGAACTGTTTGACCTGATTGTGTTTTTGGTTGGTTGCTATTGGTGTGTGCGTACACACATGCACATAAAGATATGGAATGCTTTATTTAGTGACCTCGGCGAGCTTCTCCACGATGAACTTGCGGGTGTCCGCGATCGACTTTTGGGCGGAGGACGCCGAGGCCTCGCACATGCCGATGGCCACGAGAGCCTCGCTGGGCGACATGGTCTCGATGCCCTTCAGGAAGGGCAGCTCGGCATCTGCAGTCTTCTGGACCTCGGACCTCACGTTATCAACCTTCTCGACGGCCTGCGCCAAGAGGTCGGACGCCAACGATTTCTCCTTCTGCACCTTCGAAGCGGCCATCAATTCACCCAACTTAGTCTCCGCCTTCGTGATCCGGGACCGCATGGCCTGCAACTCGGCTTTCAAGACTCCCTGTGCACTCTTGAGCTTCACGTCCACAAGCTTCGCTGTTGTGGTGACCTTGGTGTTCGCGGAAACGGTTGCCTTCTCAATGCGCTCGACGGCATCAGGCGAGGGCTGATCGTCAGAAGCGGCCGTGGAGCAGAGCTTGTCCACCTCCGCCTCCGTTATCTGCAGCCTCGTCATGACCTCCGCGAGGCCCTGCTTCACATGGACACGCTCCTCCGCCTCCTTGGCCCCACTCTTGAGCTTCGTGAGCTCCTGCTGGACAGAGTTGACGCGATTCTGCAGCTTGCCGAGCTCTGACCCCGACCCCGACACCGAGCCTGGGGAAACCACGAGATACCGATGCCGCAACTCCGTGTGTCTCTTTCCCCGATGCATTCTGACCGAGATTTCGAGGCAAATCCATCCGTGGCGACGTGGGAAGAGTACCGACGTCGGTCTCGTTTTGTTTTCCTCCTCTGGTATCTGAGAGCCCGACAACGCGAGCTTCTTCAGCTCCGCGGTAGCGCCCAGCAAGCTCTTCCGGCAGGCCACGTGGCTCGCCTGGGCCACCCGTTCGGCAGACCTCGCCTGCTCCAGCGCCTCGGTGAGGGTGTCGCTCAGCGGCTCGCCGATGCCGCCCACGGCGGCAAGCCCCTTGGCGACCTCCTTCAGCTTGGCCACGTCGGCCTCCGAAGCTGCAATCTTCGCCTCCACCTCCTCGAGCAGGTGGGTCCGCTTGCGGTCCGCCAGGGAGGACTTGAACTGCGTGAGGCGCTCGCGCCCCTCCTCGAGCCGCTTCTGCAACATGTCGACCTCCTCCTTGACTGTCCTTCCGGGCCCCTCCGCGAAGCGCGCGACCTCCGCCAACTTCCGCGCGACAAAGGCCTGCGCCTCAGCGAGGGCGGTGTGGACCTTCGCCGCGACCACGTCCGCGGACGAGATCAGCTCGCCCATGTTCAAGCCCCTCTAAAGGACAACACAACCCACCCCCACCCAGAACCCGCACTCCCGACCTGATGATCCAGGGGGTCCTGCCTGGGGGTGAATGCCGCCTTGGCCCCCGAGCACACCCCAGAACCACCCCCTCCCGCAGCCAGGATCCCCTGGATCACCCAGTTCGCGAGTGGGGGACCTAGCTGGGGGTAGGGGTGGGTTGTGCCTCCCTCACCTCTGCTCGCTCCGAAGGAAGGGCAACTCCGCCTCCGCCATGTGCTGGAGCTCCTCCTCTCGGCGGTGGACAAACCTCCCTTTACCTCCCCTTAGTCAAAACGGCCTGGGACCGAAACCGACGGACCTGGACCCGAAAAACTGACGGCCGCGACGCCCTCTCGCGAACCGAAAACGGCCAATTCCTTGATCGACGTGTCAGGGTAGGAGGTCTGTCCACCCCCGATCCTCCGCCGCGGCCACCCTCTCGGACACCTCCCTCAGCAGGCTGTCCGCCGCCACGCGCATCTGGCTCTCCTTCACGGCCCTGCGGACCTCGTCGAGCTTCTGCTGCGCCTCCCGGCACCTCTCCCTGAGCGGCTCGAGCTTGCCCTTGATGGGGCCCGGGTTGGTCTCCACGCTTCGCAGCTTGGAGTCGATGAGGCGAGTGGTCTGCGCCAAGCCCGACTGGGCGGCGCTAAGTGCCGCCTCGGTCTCTCTGATACCATCCGCGCTGTCCGGTCCGAGCGATGCCGTCATCATCGCCGCCTTCTCAACCTCGATCTCCGCAGCCGTCAGCCTGTTGCTCATCTCCTCTTCCAGCTTCTTGGCCTGCACTCTCTGCTCGTAGTCTTGGCGGACCGTCTTGTACTTGGCCAAGGCGCTGTTGGCATCATTCAGCTTTTTCTGAAGCTCGGTGAACTCTGCCACTGCTTGCTTCTTGACGCTGTTCACGAAGGTGCTCGCAACCGAGATCTTGGACGAGATGTGTCGGCGAGCCTCCCCGATGCTCCTGTCCGCTGACCGTACCATCTGCTCTGTCTCCCGGATGGCCTCGAGCATGGTGGCCCTCATGTCGTCTGCCGAGTCGGCAAATTCTATCTGCAACGGCGCGGCGGCTATTTCGACCTTCTCTAGCATGTCCTCCACGTTATTGACTTTATCGACGGCGACGGGTCGCATGTCCTCCAGCTGCTGGTAGTGATCGTCATAAAGCTCCTTCTCGCGCATCTCCTCCTCCAGCCGCTTCTCCTCGTCTTCAGCATCCTGCTTTTTCTTCTGCGCACTGTTCTGCAAGTTCTGCAGCTCCTGCTTGATGCTCGCCTGCAGTCCACGCATGCGATCCCCCAACCGCTTGAGCTCCTGAACTTTCTCCGGGGGCGCCCCGGCCGCCTTCTGCGCGGCGAGCGCTTCCAGAGCAATGGCCCGCTGAGTCTCGGCAAGAGCCCTCGCCTGTGCTTCCAGGGTGTTCTGCGCCATCGCCAGGGCCTCTGGGTCCTCGCCCTCCATGGCTTCCTTGACGCCCTGCAGAGCCTCGGTAACGTCCATTTCGGCGTCCGCGGCCTTGTACGTGGTCTTGACCACGCGCTCCTCCCACTCCGCGGCGACCGCGGCGTCGCGCTTCTGGCTCTCTTCGGCCCTTCGCGAGTCCAGACGCGCCTGAGCGCTCTGTCTGTCCGCGGACTGCTTTTCCGCGGCGCTGGCCACCACCAGCTCGTCTCTCACGTCGCCGTCCCAGGGGATCGTCCAGCCAGTCTTGGGCGGCTGCAGGCCCAGCGTGACGTTCCTGGACCACACCTGCGACCCGCCGACCTTGTCCCCGAACCACCAGCCCGAGAATTCTGCGCCGTCGCGGTCGTCCCAGAAGTACAGGAACACCTGCAGGTAAGAGGAAGATGAAGACGACGACGACGACGACAACGAGGCAGGCGAGAAGACGAGGAGGGCTCATTGCCCCTGGAGACCGTTCCGCGGCATCTGGCCATCGCTCGGACGTCCATTCCATGTGCCTGTTTCGGTCTCGTGCGTGTTTGTTTGGTGCAAACTACTCAATATGCTCCTCAATGGCCCTCGTCGAGGAAAACATGCACACGCCCGAGCGATACCAAGGCATTCGAAAGAGACTCTGGGCCACGCTTGTTCGTGACGGCGGACCCCCTGTGTAGGAGATGGGTGCGAGAGGTGAGAAAGAGGAGGGCAGAGACAGGCACGAGAGGGGACTAGAGGCTTCCTACATAGGGTCCGAGTAGATGGGGTCGGAGGATCGCGCCGCATCGCTGATGCATCGCCGATGCATCGGCGATACATTGGCCATACATCGGCGATGTCGGCGGTGCATGGTCGACGCCAATGCGGAGAAAATCGAGCTCCACATCGAGCCGCATATCATAGCCGATGCATCGGCGATGCGGCGAGATCCTCCGACCCCATCTACTCGGACACCATCTAGGAGGCCTCGAGGGATGAACGGGAGGAGCACCCCCATGCTCTCGTGCCCGGGAATCTTCTGCAGCTTCTTGTAGAACCTCCGCCCGTGGTTGGTCCCCGCCTCCACGTACTCCCCCACGAGCGTGCGGATGCCCGACTCATCCTGCGCGGGGTGGTGGTGCACGAGGAAGATTCGCCGACGAAGAACGGTAGAACATACACTTTTCCGCCGTCGAAGACGCCTGCCCCACCGCGGCTGGAAAATGTGTACCCCGACGTGCCACCGTAAGGGTAAAAACTTTCCAGCCGCCCTGGGGCAGGGGCGTCCCCCAACGGCGGACAAGCTTATCTTATACCGTTCATCTGTTAAGAGGGCGGAGGAGGAGGTCAGTCCCTGAATCACGGGCGGGCCCGTGGGAGCGGAAGCGGGCCACCGAAACCACGGCGCCAGCAAGATGTCGAGCGCGCTCGCGCGGAACCCCCACAGAGGCCGCGAACGTCCCTCACACCAAAGAGGCCCCCGACCTCCTCCAACTCTCCTCCGTCGCACCACTGGACGTGTCGGCGGGGTCACGGTAGGGCGGGCCAAGCTTTTTCGCTAAATACTTCGTCACCACTTCTGACCCTGAAGAAGCTTGCAATCCCTAGCAGCTACGAGGACGGATGCCCCTTGACCCTTCCAAAACAAGGTTCCCGCCTCAGCGCCGCGCACATTCGTCCTGAAAGCTTGCGACGGCTACAAGGATGGAGGGAGTTTTATAGTTTTTCAAAATGGAGCTGTCGCCAAAGCGCCGCTCGCATCCATCTCGAAAGCCTGTTACAGGGAGTTGTCTGAAAACGAAGAGACCACCTCACATCAGCTCAAGTCGAAGTTACAACTGAGCGTCCAACGAAGTCCACAGAAGCACAAGCGACAATGCTGGCTTGGCACGCGACATCTCCAATGTCTGACTGCGAACTCGGAGGCGCAACAATCCATCATAACCAGAGCAGCCTCGGAGGGAGGAGGAGGAGGAGGACGAGAGGAGGACGAGAGGAGAAGGAATGCGAGGAGATGGGCAAGGTAAAACCAGATGGCGACTGATACGGATTGTCCACTAAACGTATCGGGCCGTGCACACACACAAATGGAACCCCTACCGCAGGGCCCAAACGGTAACTGCCATATCTCCAAGACAACATGGGATAGAGGAGGGCAAATCACGCACATTACAACAGCCCACCTGTAACCCATAGTAATCAAACTCATTCGGTAAAAACGGGAAACGTAGGCAAACCCGGCAAGAAACGACATTACAAAGACACTGATGAGAATCCGCCCCTGGTCCACACCGTGTCCAAGGCTCAGCGTAAACGCGTATGGCAAAGTAAAGCGGGAAGGGGGCGGAGGAGAAGAAAAAGGACGAGAAGGCGAGTGGAGAAGAGATCCCGGGAGCAACCGGTATGGTTGCCTGGCGGACGCCAGGATCTGTCAGGAGACACCGTGACGAGCAGACTGGAGGACAACAAGACAGCGCCACGAGCAGGAGGAGGAGGAGGAGGAGGAGAGGGAAAAACGGCCCGCAATTACTGGCGGGTTTGACTCACGAGAACCCCGTGTTCCGCACCCGGAGCCACCAAGACCGTGCACGCCCTTTGCTTCGCGGACGCCGTGCGTCGCAGCATCGGAGCCTGCTGTGCGCCCTCTTCGCGCGGGGCAGCGGCCCGCTGCGTTTCCCTGGACTGAGGCGAAGGAGGAGGAGGACGACGACGACGAGGAAAGGAGGGAAGGACGGCGTCACGCCTGCGCTCCACGCCGCGCTTGCGAGAACAATGGCTTGCAAGTATCACGGATATTCTGGCGCAGTGCGCCGCGCAGCGCCTGCATGCGCAAACCTCTGTGCCGGGGGTAGCAGTGCGCCGAATAAAAGGCGCACGTTGCCAACACGCGGCGAAAAAATACCTCTTCGCACGTGTCGGAAAATGCACGGCTTTACCCCCAACGCGAAATCGCCCTGCTGCCCGGGTGGCGGCGCTGGCAGCCCGAGCTCTGCAGCGCAAGCCTGCCGGAAACTAGAGCAGAAAAACAATGGCGCATGCCCTCGCGCGCGGCGAAGCCGAAACTGCACGTGGCATCGGCTGGGATTTGCTGAAGCCTACCCGTCCAGGAGCGTGCGGAGGGACGCATGCCAGACACGAGGCGGCACAGCCGCGCTGCGGTGCTGTAGTCAACGGACTGCCACGCTCACTCGATGCCCTGGGAGGGTGGCCAGCTCGCTACGGTCTAACTGCTGTCGAAGATACCAGAGGACCCCGTCGGTAGCCAAAATCCGGACGACCTGCAGGCACTCCCTCGGCCAATGCTTCCGCGCTGCAGACTCTCGGTCTGCTCTGGCTTGAGTGCCGGCCAGTCCAATCATGATGGCGGCTGGATCGTGGCCGCGCGCGCGTGCCAGACGCACGGCAGCAGCCAGCTGGAGAACGGAGGCCGCGTTCGACCAACGGCTCCAGACGGCAGCTTGATCTGGGAAGCTGCAAGCCAGGCGGGAGGTCGACTCGAAGACCGTGGCGGCGGTCCTCCCACATGGCCACGCGGTACTTGGCCGACATCGCCATCTCCTGGATGTTCGGAATCTCTACTGGACTGCTAAGGGCATGCAAGCAAGCAGGTGGTAGCCCAACCCTGGGGGTCTGGGAATAGTACGGCGCATGCTCGGTGCTCTGCGTTCTCGAACTCGTCAGGCACCCCATCCAACTGTCCCAGGAAAGACAATACTGAGGCGGCATGAGCAGGGTATGCACGTCAACAATGCAACGCACAACACCTGGTCTAGCCCCAGACTTTCGCTCGATCCACGTACTTCCGCAGCGCGTTGCACCAAATGAGAGGGCGGCTGCTTCTCAAAGAAGGGCTGCCGCGCTGACGCCTTGGCGTCGTACACACTCGTCCAAACATGCAGCAGTTATGAAGAGTGTGGGCGATACCTTTTCTAATGGGGGCTGTCGCCTTAGCGCCGCGCACCTTCGCCTCAAGAGCTTGCAACACCTACTAGGATGGAGGGTAGCACCTGTTCAGAATGGGGCTATCGCCTGCGACCTCGAGTGATGACCAGAAGCTTGAACACAACAGCTGCTCATATTGGAGGCTTTTAAATCTCAAGATGGGGCTCTCGCTTAAGACTGCCTCACTACGAGCCACCACACACGTCAACTTGCGCAGCAGGTGCACGGATGCAGGGTGGCTCCCTTTCAAAACGGGGCTCTCGCAAGACACCTCGTTGAACTTTGATGACTAGACTTCGGTCGGGCTTGTCCCCCTGCATGGGGATTTTGGGCGAACAACCAAAAATACTCAACACAGATTCAAACGTAGTCAACCAAATACTCAAACAGTCGAATCCCTAGACTATGTCTTGACTGGTTCTGAACATTCCTCCTGCAGAGGGACACGCCCGACTTAAGACTATACCTTTCCTTGCAATTCGCTGTAGAACTGCGGGGCAGCTCCTCTCCCGAAGCGGGAGCTCCCGCCCGCACGGCAGGCCCACGGGGCGCCCACCGCTCTCGAGAGGGGCGCCGCTCGCAAGGAAAGGGAAGGCCTTGCAGGGATTCGCGAGAAGGGGACTTCTGAGGGGGCCCCTGGGGCACGCACGCACGCACGCACGCACGCACGCACGCACGCACGCGCGCACGCACGCACGCACGCACGCACGCACGCACGCACGCACGCACGCACGCACGCACGTACGCACGCACGCACGCACGCGCGCACGCACGCACGCACGCGCGCGCGCACGCACGCACGCACGCGCGCGCGCACGCACGCACGCACGCACGCACGCACGCGCGCACGCACGCACGCACGCACGCACGCACGCAC